GCTGGCCGATTCCAAAAACAAGTGAACCCACAAGGGCCTGACAGCCGCCGCCTGCACGGCTGTGGAAGGAGCAGCTTTTGCTCAAGCCCTCTCCGTGTGCGCCAGGGCCTCCCGTCTCCCCTCACCAGGAGGGAGATGTCACAGACTCCAGCTCTGCGTCTGCAGACACGTACACCAAACTGTGTGCAGGAGCCAAACGGAAGGACAAGGAAGCTGAGGACAGGGAGGCGCTCGAGAAAGCCCTTGGCCTGCCTCCCAGGTCCAGAATGAGGCATCCCTGCAACAAAGGAGGCTGCCTGCCTGGACGAGGTGGGCCCCCAGCACGGTCCTGCCTCTCGGGCAACAGCTCTGCGGGGACATGGAGTTCCCCACCAAGCGATCCTTTGCATCGCAGGTGCCAGGGAATGAACCGGGATCTTGTGGCATGCTAAAAGCACGAGTGACGATTCCCAGGGCTGGCCGCCTCAGACTGGAGAGAGCAGCTCGCCTTAGATGGCGGGTTGAGGGGCGCACTCGAACACTGCCAACGCCAGTGGAGGGTCCCTCACCCTGCGATGGGAGGGACTTGTCCCCCTCTTGCATCAACTGGGGGGGGGGGCAGGGGGATAATTTCTCTCTCAGAATACATGCAAGACTAAAACAATGAGAAATGCAGCAAATTCTACACTTTAGAAGAATAATTTTAGGGGAGAAGGTGTTGTTGTGATTAAGTAGAAACGCGGGCATCTCACCCTCATGCGAGAGATCCAGACCAGGTGGCCCGCTCATCCCAGCCCATCTGCCATGGGGCTCCGCTGGCAGGCAACCCTCCTTCCTGGGATCCCAGCTGCGAGTGGACAGGGTGGTCCTTCAGACAGAGGGAAGCCCTGCAAAGCGTTGGGCGCGTGGCCACCCGATTAGCGGCCTGACATTTGCCCAGTATGCTTGGAATAATCCTATTCCTTTCAAGCGCAGGAACTGTTTGCCCATGGCGAGGTCCATATTAACATATTTGTTGCTCAAATGTTGGGGCAGATGTCCTCCCAAAGTGGAGTAAACAAGATGTATAAAACAAGATAATACTAAGAGCTAAGAGCAGTGAAGACGCCACTAAAACAAGAAAAGCCAGCAAGAAAGACCGCACCCACGCTTATTTCACGTCATTTCATTTCTACACTGCCCGAAAGTTGACATTCTCTGGATGGCTTACAGCCAGAGGAAAATGGGTTTTCAAGGCTGCCCTAAAAGCCTGCTGTGATGGCGCTTGGTACAACTTATTCCAGAGGTGCTTCATGTGGGGCGTAAAGATGTGAACCCAAAGCTTCTTCCGCTCAAGCCCACTACAGTGCTAGAGAAATCCACTGCAAGCCGCAACATTTCCCCAAGCCCCCGCATCTGGAAGTGTCCTTGTGGACAGCGCTCTGTTTCAGATGTTTTCCAAGAGCAGGGCCGTGCACTCCAAGTCTGGTATGAAGAGTAAAGGCCGCTTACAGGATGAGTTAGCCCTCAAGAGCAGCCAGACAGTGGATGGAGCAAGTCACACCGCTCCCCTGGATGTGCCGCCTTCCACACCATGTGTCAATGGCTGTATTTGCAAAGAGAATGTACAGATTTTATGCAAATCTGTATCCTGCTTGTGCGCTTTTTGTTGACGCATTTCTTCTTTTGTGGCGAGTCATAAATGGGCACCAAACTAGTTTCCCTTCCGTGGAAGACCAAAAGGGATTCCCCAGCTCTGACCAGGATATCCTCCAGAAGAGAAGTAGATAAGGGCACCTCCTGTTGCCAGGAAACACAAACCATCTCTCCGTAGAGACCCACAGGCCCACATTTTGAGTCATGGGGAGCTTGGGCAAAAGTTTGCTGCTGGCTGGGATGTGGCAGTGGCACTCAGGGAATTATAAACTGTGGTGTGGCCTGGGCAATATTTCCAATCTAGGAGGAGAGGGAAAAAAAAGCTGCAGAGCAGACAGTGTTTAAACCCAGCTCCCTGCAAAAAGACAGGCTAAAAACAGCAAAGCCCAGCATGCTGGTTATAAATAACTCCTGAGCCTGTGTTGTAAACGGCTCGAAGTGTATTAATACATGCGAAGACTCTAATCGCTTGGTCGCTTACTGTCAGAGTTCAGGTAAACCAGCAGCCAGAGGCTTCCATGGCAGCCCAAACGTACGTTCAAGGTTTGAAGGACACACACAGCCTTCTTCACTTGATCTTCGGGCATTTATGTGAAGGTGGATCATGGGGAATCTTGAAGGGGGCTGCGGCCCACGCAGCTGCCCTCCAGAGAGGTTGGTAACCAAGGTTTAACCGAGTGAAGATCACTGGAACTTACATTCTGTTATGGTAGTATATTTTAATTCTGACACTATTTTTCAGTTTGGTTCTCAAGCTCGGTAAAATAAAACTTAATAGTTTCTCAATTCATTATATGATAAATGTGAGGGTATGAACACTTTGGATAAATGCCATACATTTTGGTCCAAAGCAGTCCATTATTTCCTTGAGGCCTAGGAGCTGAGGCACTGTTTGCACTCAGGGGTAGGGGGGAAATCCCAATATTCTTGTAGCACCTTAAAAACCTAACACATTTATTCTGGCATAAGATTTTTTTGGACTGCAGAATTTCCTGATTCACAAGAGATACCGCATAGGAACTAGGGAGGCATGTGGAACAGGCAAAGTCAGAAGGGGAGAGATGTAACATGATCAGTCCCATTGTCTGACACCGGAGCAAGATGGCAGCAGACCAATTCTGTAGCATCTGGTGTTCCCACCATCTGGCCTTCAGGAACCAGCAACCTTCCTGAGGGTCGAGCTGACTCCATTTGGTGGGGAAGAAAAGACAGACTGAATCTGGCATAAGTGACAAACTGGCTTCCTAACCTGATGGATGCCTTTTCCTAACACATTTTGCAATATCCCTGTGCTATCAAAAAGCCAGCTTGGTCAGCTCCCTTTAATAGAATAAAAACTGCAGTTAAGAAACCTCTTGTCTGGATCTGTTTGGAAGATAAAAGGGCAATGGGGGGACAACTGGTGTTCAACACATGGTAAGCTACTATCCTGTATGAATTATGTAATATACACACAATAAAATAAGCCTGTTAAAACTGCTTCTATGAGCATTGTATAAAATACAGTGGCCTGGTTTGCAAATAATGCAAACCCATGGTTTATTGAACCTCTGGCTTATTACCCTACCCAGGGTTTGTGCGCCAGACATCTAAACAAACCATTGTCACCTCAATTCCTGGGTTGTTCAATTCCTTCCTGCATTGTCTGCTCCCTCCATTATTCTAAATTTCTTTGCAGAGTTATAGTACTGACATATAGACGGTTGTTGTTGTTTTAACCACTCTTGTCCACAGCCTCTGTGGCCTGGAAAAATAACTTATGGACAACCCAGAGTTCTGGGTTCACACAAAGCAGCCACCCAAAAACAAAACATGGCTTCTTTTTCTGAGTTTTCTTGGGAAACAAGCCATGCTTTATTAGTGCAGCCACATTCACTCATCATGACAGCCTAGAATCCAACCACACGTACGGTGGCTTAGCATGATGTGCAAACCAGGCCAATAACATGAGGTTCTAAACTAAAGCAAGACTTAGCTTCTACCTGTGTTGGGCTGCACTGGCTTGGCACGTTCCCCCACTTGCACCCTAGACAGTTCCCAGTGTCACTGCACACATGGCCCTCGGCGCAGGAATATATGCCGAAAAGCTGCACAGGCTCGGCTAAGTGGGAGAAGCCACTCCAGAGCAACTCAGCCAACTGGCTGGGCAATCAACTTTGCATTCCACCAGGGTTTTGGCAAGAGCACCAGTAGGAAAATGCTCCTTTCTCATTCCAGTAGCATTCCTCGTTATTTAAGCAAACACTCGATTGCTTAATTGCAATTGCTCATTACTTGAAACAGGGAACATTCATAGGAAAGAGTGCATGGCACAGCATGGACACAGGGTGCCTCTGACCTGCTCCACCCTCCAGGAGGGCAGCTGTGGGTGGATTCTGATTTTGGCCTCCAACATCTGACGCCCCAGTGCAGCCACTAAAACAAGGGAAAATGCAACAGCTTTTTTTAGCCAGCAAACTAACAGAAAGGTCTTCACTTTGGTATGCAAAGTGAAGTTGAAGTTGCGCAGCTGAGAAGGGTGTTCAGTCTGTAAGCTCTCCAGCTTTCTTTCTGTGTAACCTACATATCCTAAGACTTGAAGACACAAAAGAGGTTCAAGTGCTGAGTTCAGACCCTGAGAAGATGCAGAAATTTTGCAGCCTTGGCTGCTGATATCCTGATAACCAAGTGGACGGTTCAGTACCAGACAGTCAGTGACCCTCCAATAAAGACTGGGAATCTCTACAAGCTGAGCACTTTTCCTCTTGTTTTGAGCTGCTGTTCAGAGAGCCCCAGCTCTTGCAAGCTACAGTTCCGTTCTGGCCACAGGATCAGAAAAAGCAAACCACAACTCCTCCCATTCTTGTTCTGTTTATCAGCACCATGCATTTTCTAGCTACTCCCTTCTTTCCTTCCATGACTGTTTCTACTCCTTCCTGAGGTGTGCTTCCATCTTGCTTGAAGGAACTGACCAAGAATAAGCGGGAAAAGTTAATTGATGACAAGTTTTTGTCAAGAACACAGTAATCTGCCACAGTGACGCTGAACACAACATGGACCTGATCTAGAAGAGAGAGATGCGGCAAAACCTTCACATTCATGTGACGGGCAAATTGGTGGGGCTGCAATAGCTACGTGCCACATTTCAGCAGATTCGTTTGCAAAAGTTGCCACAAGTGTTTGTTTCTGCCCACGTGCTGAAAGGGGGCTGCAGCTGGATTACTGCCGTTTTCTTCCCTCCTGATCAACGGAGACTGTCTAATGTTGCCGGGATTTGTACTTTTCAGAAAGGGCAAAACCAACCAAACCTGAAAAAGCATCCCAGCCACACCCGTGAATTCATGCTATCTGCTTCTATTCCACCCCACCCGCCCTGGCACGGCTCCTTTAAAAGCGGGTGCCAGATCAGTTCTGCTCCACTGGTGTCTGCTAATCCACATCATACTGGCAACAGCGAAGAGTGCTGCAGGGCACTTCCATCCAAGCTTTCCACGAAGACCAAAACAGACGTTGGAGCAAACAGTTTGAATGAGTCCAGATATGGCTTGCCACTCCCGGACCACAGCTCAGCTGGGTGGATTCGTTCTCTCCCTCTTTGGGTGGGTCTCCTCGTGCGTTACAACCTTCATTCCTCTCTGGAAGAGCCTCAACTTGGAACTGAGCGTGTTTGAAAACTGGAATGTGGGGCTTTGGCATGCCTGCATCTTTCAAGAGGAAGGCAAAATGCAGTGCAAAGCTTATGACTCCATCCTGGCGCTGCCCTTGGATATCCAGGTATCTCGGATCATCATGGTTACCTCAAACGGACTTGGACTGCTTGCTTTCTCCCTTTCCATTTGGGGACTGAACTGCCTGAAGACAAGGGCCCAAAATCAGGGACTGAAAAGGCCCTTTGGAATAGTTGGAGGAGCTCTCTTCTGTATTTCGGGAATAGCAAGCCTTGTGCCAGTCTCCTGGGTGGCCCACACCATCGTGGAAGAGTTCTGGGATGAAACCGTCCCACCGATCGTCTCCAAGTGGGAATTTGGTGAAGCATTATTCCTCGGCTGGTTTGCTGGGTTTTGCCTTATACTGGGTGGTCTCCTCCTCATCTGTACAACCTATTTCCTGGAAGCCCAGAAGCCATCCAAGCAGTTAGCAGTCTCCTGTAAGCCAAGGATGCAAATGGCAAAGCATTTTCCATATTCACCGCCCAAAAATCCAGATCTTGTGATCTGAGGACACCATCATGCGCTCCAGGACTTGTAGGGAATGAGTTGTGACTGTTGGAATTGTTTTTATCTGATGGTTGTACCCTGACTCGTTGTTTCCACGCCTTTAAAAGATGCTGTAATAGGAAATTGGAATCAGAGAAGGACAAACTGGAATTATACTATGTCAGACCATGTTTTAAAAGCAGTAGGAATGTCATTTGTGAGCCGCCCCGAGGCTTTGTTGCGATGGGGGCGGCATAAAAATGTTTTAAATAAATAAATAAAATTTTCAGCACCTGTACCTTCAGAAACACAAAACATGTGTCGGAATCATTTTTCTTTCAAAATTTATGTCTAATAAAGTATGTGTGGATGGTTTCTGAATTCAGATGGAGTCATTTGTTTAAGACTGCTTCTCCTTCCTCCAGACATTAAGAGAAATATTGTGGTTTAAAGACAAGTCACAATATTGGTAAGAATTGCGGGAAAGAGAAAGACGCTGGGTGCCAAGCCAGTGTCTTGAATGAAACTAAGTGCTTGCCAAAACAAACAAACAAAAAACTATCAAAAAAGGAAATGCCTATATTTGCTTTTCACAGGAATCAAACCTCTCATGCTTTCCAAAGTAATTCTTGAATGCACAGACAAATGTTGTGCCCACTAGGCCTTACTCCTAAGCGTGGACAAGACGGCAGCCTCGGTTAATGCTGTCATCTTAACCAGTAGCAGAAAGAATATTTCATCATGCCTACTGGGAAAGGACAAGCAGCAGCAATTCTGAACTTCCAGAAATCAGTTCTAGTCCGAAGCTCTGACAGTGCGATACATGCAACGTTTTTCTTGGGCAGGTCAAGAACGGGTTGAATAAGCAGCAGTCAGTTCCAGCTTTGATCCGATAGCCAAAAGCTTGTTTTGTGGCAGGAGGATCAGGCTCTCTGCTGACTGACTCGGCAAGTCTCTCAGAGTAATGTTGGCCCACGCATTGGTATAATAAGAGGCTCACGACCACGGTAGCCCGGCAGGACTCCACTCGCTGCTCGTGGCAGGCGATCACAGCACCGAGGGTGCCAGAGTGTCTTGGGAAAGAACAGCTTCCTCCAAGCTCTCTGAAACTTGCCACAGCCAACCAAGGTATCTGCGGAATAATTCACTTTACCCCTCTGAGGCAGGTTTTTTGGAGTGGCAGAAGACCAACGTCAGCAGGAGAAACATGAGACACATTTCAACGGGAAGTACTTGTCCCCTAATTTAATGCAACCGAGATGTAACCCAAGGCTCTCTGGGTATTCAAGGAGCGAGTCCTTGTAAAGTAGCTTCGTTGCAAACTTTTACGATACACTTCCAGGGATCAGAGAAGCGAAAAGGTTGTAGTCCAACACCTCAACAGCAAAAACAAAAAAAAGTCCCAAGCTGAAATAGAGTAAAATGCTTTATTGCACTTTCAAGCCAGAAAAATCCTTACCAAATCTGTATTTCCATTTACATCCTGTGTTTGTCTGTGTTCCAATAAAAACAAAGGCCACTTAAAAATATTTTCAGGAAAAATTCATTAGTTACAGTTCGCGCTATTAAAAATGGACTTGCCCTGACTTTGGTGCACTTATTTCCACCAATAAAACTCCTGTAATTAGAATTCGGTGATTTGGATTGGAGGAAAAAGCTGGGAGTTGAGAGAAAGCCGCTTCCCCGGGGCTCCTGTTTCCCGTCTCCTTCCTTGTGCTGGAATGAGCTCTGCAATTCTGCCCCCCGCTTCCCCCGCCCAACGCTGGCAGCACCATGATGTTCCCCTAGCGGAAGGAGCAGCTGCTGCCTGTGCAGCCACTTGCGCACAGCGACACTCCGGGGACCAGGGCACGGGCTGCTCCCTCCCCTCCAGAAGACACCTGGGGCAGCCTCAATTCATAGCCCGGCAAAAGTTTTAAGGGGTTTTCCCCCAGAGGTAAGTGTGCGCAGCTCTTAAGTGCCTACCTATGATCCAGTTTGGCTTCTTCCCTGAACCGATTCTCCTCCAACGTCACCGAGATCTAGTTGAAAGAACAGGACACGGGCCCCGGGTTACATGCTGACCCATGTGGGGGAGCCACACGGCCCCGGCGCGCTCCCTTGCATGAATGAGGCTGCCACGTTCGCGCCGCATCAGAAGACCAGTGTCTGTGTCAAACGCATTTAACAGGGTGTGCACAGAAGGCTTGCGACGAGCATATGCAATAACCAGCCACACCACGTGTACGTGAGGCACCGCAGCAAAGTGTAAGTCCAATGCTGAGTTTAAAACTGATCGTGTTGTACAGAAATGTCCCCCATATGCTCTGCTCTCGCGGGGAGTGAAGGTGAACGGCACTACCGGTGATGCCCGACTGTAGAACCCAGGGCGCCTTCCGGGGAGTGCCGGCCCGAGTGCACGCACGCCAAAGGTGCCACGCTCCTCTCAGCATTCCTGAGGTCTTCCGACTTGGGCTCTCTCCCGAAGGCGGCCTCCGCGGGACTCGGCAGCGGCCTCCGGGGCTCAGTGCAGCCGACTCGGCGGACTCTATTTCACAGCCACGGTGGAGGCCTCATGAATGGACTCCATGACCGCGGCAAATCTGCTGCAGAGATCGTAGGGCGAATTGGGGCGGATCCTGGGCGGCTCTTTCAGAACAACTCCTTCCGAAGAATCATCTAGCAGGCGGGGCAGCAGCTCAGCCAGCTTCTGCTTCACTTCAGCTGCAAGAGAAGGGGGAAGCATGGGGAAGCGAGTCCTGAAGGCACTGGCAGAGCCCGCTGAAGCATAAAGACAGGGCCCAGGAAGCACCTTCCTGCCCAGGTAGGTGCAGGATGCCCAGGCCAGCACGGCCGACACTCCTGGCTGGGGTGGCTCTCTGGGGCCTCGGGCGGGGCTTCTCCCCGCTTTGTCCCAAGAGGCGCAAGGGGGAACCGGGGTGCCTGCAAGCAGAAGCAGGGCGGATGCTGACGGGGCCCCAGCAGGGCCTGCAAAACCCTCGTCCGGGCAGCATGACAGCACTTCCAGCTCCCAGCAGGATTCCTCCTGCAGCGTCTGCGCGTGCCAACGGCAGGGAGGACATCCGAGACGCACCAGCAGGCATCGTGCAGAGCATGTGCAGAGCAGCTGGGCCATCGTGACATGCATCGTCCAAGGTGGCTCAAGCCAGCCGTCTGTCCATAAGGAAATGGCCCTTGTCCTTCCCAAGCAGTTCTGCAGTGCCTCACCGGGCAGTTAATGCCGGTGTGGAAAGCACTTTTAAAAAGCAAGTTTCCACACACACACTCCTTGAAGTGAAAACAGGAATACAGGCTATGGCAAAGAGGGAAAGGGGCACGTTATGCTAAACCAGAACAGAACAGCAAGCAGAGATTTGAAAGAAATTAAAATGTCCAGAATTGCTGGGAAAGCAGAACCCAGGTCACAAGTGAATGGAAATCTACTGCTGCAGCCACCTCTCATTTCCACTTTGGAAGAGCAACTCAGGAACAAAAGTTTTGACATCACACAGGCTCCTCTTTCTTGGCTAAAGTGTAAAAAGTTAATCAAAATCTACTTTTCTAAATCTATACAAAAAAGCACAACGGCTTAGATTCCAGATTTATGAACATCTAAGCAAAACACCAAAGCCAAAGATTCTTGATATCACTGCCTCTCCCAGCCCTCTAATTTCTCAGACTCTGAAGTAGCAACTGATACGCTGCATCCAGATTTTTAAAATCAATGCATTTCATCAATGCATCCTGCACAAACACAGTCCTTGGTCAAGATTTCTGGACACACAAATGATTTCCGGCCCCAGAGGAATGTTTTCTGCCATTCCTCACCAGTGACCATGCAAGAAAACAGGCTGGGACAACAGACTGCATCGATTCACTTGCTAGAACTACAATAGTGAGGAAAGCGCATCAGCTGAGAAGCAAGCAAAATTTCGACTGAGGAAAAAAGTAAGGAACTGAGCCATCTAATCCTATGTTTTGAATACATTCAGGTACGGTCAAATCAACAGGACGGTCTGTTCAGTAAAGCTCCATGTCTAGAGATCAACGTCACTGGACATTCGCCTGAGCAACGGACAAAAATCGGAAGAAAATAAAACCAGGCAGGCCCATGCAAGTCGTCCAGCCTGAAGCCCAAGGTACGCTTCTTACCATTCATTACTTCTTCCACATAAGCAAACCAGCGGTTGCGCATGAGCTCGATGGCATGCAGGTCGTCCTTGGACATGGGGTCACTTATGATGAGCTGGACGCAGGGGATGATCAGCTCATTCAGGATTCTCATCCCTTCGTCTGCGTTGCTTTTGCTTTCGATCAGAGTCGCAGCAGCATCGTTCAGCTTCTGCGGCAGGGCGAAAGGAGCAATGGCTTACGAGAATTCCACAGGGCTCTGCGGCCCCTGGGAGGCTGTGCCAGGGTTTAGGGTGTAGGCTGGAGATGGCTGCTCTTGCTCAGCTGCTGGTTCCCCCACCCCTGGGAAGGGAGCTGAGGGAGGAATGCCTGCTGCTTCTGTGACACCCGCAGCTGAAAGGAAGGGACAGAGAAGGACTGGGAGGTGGCTGCAGGTGCTACTCATCCCAAGAAGATTTTGACATTTCCACAGGCTGCAGTCACTGCATGCCTCACCTCACTGGCTGTGCCCAGGGCTGTGGACCACCCGCCCCGGAGGGCGACAGGTCCGACGCCCAGGGGTCGGAAGAAGCCCACCTCCAAACAACACTGGGTCTGCGCCTGAAGCTACACAGGAAGCCACAACGCAGTGCTCTGCAAGCTGAGCACTGCCCCTGAGCTCCCCGGGGAGTGGGGAGCCATCTGGCCAATACCAACCAGGAGGCACTTCCGCCTGTAGAGGGCAATCAGGGATGTGTCCGCGGCTCTGCTGAGCGCCTTCGTCCACAGGGCCTTGTTCCTCTCGTAGGCATAAATCAGGTAAGTCAGAGCCTCACAGAACCTTCGCGGATGAGGAAAGGGGGCACGTTGTCATGAACTACATGGCTCAGTCACACCAGCCCTAATGGGCACCTGCCTGCCTCTCTACCAGCATCTGCTGACTTTCTTTCAACATCCAGGAAGTTCCTGTTCCACAACAACTGGGGCGCCTGGGGGGCACAAATGTGCCAGAGAACAGCTTTGCGCTGCAACCCTCGCTATATTTGGAGGGCTACCAGGCCATGTGAGGCAGCTGGCACAGCACATTTAGTGCTGAAACACACCAGGACAAATCATGCATTCAGGAAGGAGAGACAGGATTTTCCCAGAAATCAAAGCTTACAGAGGCCAACACAATGGCCATTTAAGGGTTAATCACTGAAGGCTGACCCAGAGACTTGTGGGGAGGGCACGACCCTTGTGGCTTCAGGTCTGGGGAGTGGGATGGGAGTGTGCTGTGGACAGGGAAGGCTGGCTTGCTTTCCTGCGTTCCAGAGGCGGCGGAAGGATACCTCGCACCAGTGTCAACCCCACACCAGGCCGGACGTGCGCAGCAAGCCTCGCCCGAGTGGCGCCCACCCGAAGAGGACATGCAAGGAAGAGGCAGAACCAGGAGCGGGACCAGCCAGGCTGAGTTTACCCCCGCAAGGCCACTTTATGGGGTGTGCCAAAACCTGGTCCAAGCGCAAGTGTCCGGACTGCAGCGGGGCCACTTAGGGCAACCTGCAGTGGACAGGTCTCACGGGTGTCTGTAGCGCATCGACAGGAGACGCGGCGTTCCACCGATCAGATTAGGGAGGGAGGGAGGACGAATAAACAGTAGTAAGCTTCAGAAGTCCCTCACCGCCCAAGAACGGGTCCCCGCTGGGATCTTTTGAGTGTTCTCTGTCTTGGCTTGCTAAAGCCTTCAGGAGAATATGTAGCCCGTTATGGCCATGTGCTGATGGAGGGAGAACCTTGTCCACTGAGCAACACTGCCCAAGGTGGGGGAAAAAACCATTTCTCACTAGAGGGGTGGCATTTCTACCACCCACGTGCTTCAGCCTTCTGTACCAGCACGAAGAATACAGACTTTAGGTACATCAGCTTACTCCAAACATTTTACTCCAAATTACACAGTATTCAGAAGAGAAGGAACATACTTTTCATTCTGGTAGAGCTCCAACCCTGTTAACAGGTAAACTGAAACCTTGCGAAACAGGCTGTAGTCTTCGTGCCACTCCTGTGCGGAAAGAGAAAAAGGTCAAGTCCACTCAATGGCGCAACATGCCCAGCTTCGCTGGCACCTCGTTTGTGTCTTCCCTCTTGTAGTTTTTAGACGGTTGCCGTAAGAGCTTACTTATCAGTCAGATTATTTTGGACAGAGATGGTATCTTCTAGGCAAATTAACTGCTTTGGGGAGAATATCAGCTATCAAAGCGCTATCACTGCAAATCTGCAAGAGTTCCTCAGCTGTGGCACAGCAAGGCAGAGCAGTGACTTATTCTCGAACCGAGCACAGCAGAAAACCTCCATCTAGGCAGTGTCGAAAACAGCAGCCCAAATCACTTTTTCAGGAGAACAGCACATATATGTTAAGGAAGGAGAAACAAGGCTAACTTCAAGATAGCATCCAACACCCGATCCCTTTGTCTTTTAATATCCAGGTGCAGGCTATTCTTCCCACTAGGAAAAGAGGTGAGCAAACATGCATTGGACTGTATTTTATATCCTGCTCCAGTACTGGAACAGGCACCGCTAGACACACATTTGGCAGGTCTGTGAACACACACCTTCCTCCTCAAAGTGCAAGGGCAGCACCTCCTCCCACAGTTTTTGGGATGCCAAACCCTGGCGGCAAGTTTCCCATGACAAGCTCTGGATGGAGCAAGATTCGGGGCAAAGGTTCTTTACCTTGTATTCAACCATGTCCATCTCATCAGGACCAATCTCTTTCAATTTGGCTCGTGCTACCTTCATGATGCTAATTGACCTGGTCACGGGAACAAGGAGAATGACAAAGTGCAGCAATGGTCAGAAGCCACAGAACGCCGCTGGAGAAGTATTCACATTTTGCTTGTCCTCACGGCATCTCTTTTCGAAGGGTTATAGAAGCGCTCTGTCACACCGATCTGCGATCTATCGGATACTGGCCCCGTCCCAAACGAAGCCCAAGAAGAGAAGTCCTGCGATGCCCCAAACGTTGCCCAAAGCCCCTCTTTTACTTGCCCTTGCATTGAGTGGGGTCCAGATCAACTGCTCTGAACAAACCTTTCATCAAAGCTGAGGTTTTTGTCCGCAAACTGCTCCAGAAGGGTCCGCTCCACCACCTGCTTGGGGGCATTGTTCCGCAAGAAGTAGACCAGGACATGCTGAAGTCGGGGGTCGTTTTGTGGTGTTGGGGCCTCTGTGGACAGCGAGTAGAGCCGGGAATACTCTTCATGGAACGCCTGGAGCCAGGGGTTGCAAACGCGGGAGTCAGGCTCAGGATAAATCCACGTGCAGGTGGCCGTTCCTCAGGAGGAACCACCCCTGCAACGTGGGGAACATGCTCCAAGCACCGTGGAGCCTGCAGTCACAAAGCGCTTCCGCGGCTGGAGAGCGGACTGTGACAGGGCACCGACTCTGCCCCACGGAAGCTCTCTCTGGAGCAGGTGCACCAACGCCAGCACCAGGCGAGCCTTCTGGGGCAGGAGCACCTTGGTGGTTCAGAGGGACTGCCCGATGGACAACATTTCCAAACCAGTAATTAAAGTGTTGGCTATATATTTAATATACTCAATAAATATATTTAATCAATCCTTTAATGAAGGATAATTCATGTTAAGAGGATTTTCAGACTAACTGAATGATAGGTCCCTGCTTTGTGAGCCTGTGATCTGCCTTCCTCCTCCCAGATCCTCTTGCACAGTTCCCAGGTCCTCTGCAATTTGCTGGCAGGGATTCTGGACACAACATCTGGCAGGGCATTATTTATTTATTCATTTATTTATTTGGAGAACTTCTATGCCGCCCCCTTCACATAAGCCTCGGGGCGGCTTCCAAACATAAATAAATGATACAATTTCATAAAATATTGGAGACAATCTGGCGAGAAATTATTAAAATAAATCAATAAATTAACAATTAAATTAACATTTAAATAAAAAGGTCCTGGCTTGGCACCGAAAAACAAATAATGATGGCGCCAGGCGGACCTCTCTGGGGAGCGCATTCCATAAGTGGGGCGCCACCGCAGAGAAGGCCCTCCTCCGGGTACTCACCCTCCTGATGTCATTCACAGAGGGTTCCCGGAGAAGGGCCTCTGCCACCGATCTCAAGGGGCGGAAGGGTATATATGGACGTAAGCACTCCTTTAGGTAACCAGGTCCCAAGCCCAAGGGCATCATACAAAGCAGCATCTCCAAGGGCCAAACTAGGCACGGTTTGACAGTCAAGCACGGAAGTGGTGCCAGGCTGCACCCATAGGGGGTGCTGCGGCTTGCGAGAGCAGACCGGCGGATACCGGAAGGTGCCACAGCTTCACCACCACCACACTGGCTCTGCAAACTACCTTCCTGGCTAGGAGGAGGCAGTAAAGATGACCTCCCGCCATTTCTAATGTACTTGCCAAAGGACTCTAAAGACACAGCTGAAGGACAGCAAGCCCTGCGACCAAACAGGGGGTCTCTGAGCTCTCAGTCTAGAACCTGAAGACAGAACGTTCGATTGGTTATCAAAAAGAAGTGACCAGGAGCAGGGAACTTAAAGTGAGGTGATCCAAAATCCAGGGAAAAAGACTGCCAGTCCCCTTGGTTCTGGCCCATCTGCTCCCACCGACAATGCTGCCGAGATGAACAGACGACGCCTGGCAGAGTGTCTCTGCTAACTCCAGCCCAGCTCTGATCTGGCTACTTTGACTGTGGCTGTGACAGAATACACAATTCTCTCGGTTTTCAGTCTTTTTTTCAGCATGTGAGCCTCATCCCTTTCCAAGTTCCAGCAAAACGGATGGAAACCTGGTCTTTCTCCCCTCCTCCCATTCAATCCAGATTAATCCACTGTGTGCGCGCATGCAGGCGCATGTCTGCGCCAGAAACCTGGAGGCCTGTTATCTCAGCGAAGGACAACACTGACAGGGCTTCTCCTCCCAGAGGTTCCTCAAGCCCTCCGAGTTCATGCTGCAGGACGCCACCCTCCGATGGCACACCCATTCCGTGAAGCACGGTATCGCAGGGTGGGAAGGGAAGAGCAGCTCCTTGGGGGCCTGGCGCATTGCGTGCCGGCGAGGCCAACTCGCATGCCCACGTGCAAAGCCGTACCTTGACTAGCCCTGCTTCAGATCCGTCCCGATCAAAGGTCTGACGGGCTTTAGCAATAGCCAAGATCACGCCTTGCATGGCGGGAGTGAGCATCACCTGCCACGAGGAAGAGGAAGGAAGGACGGACAGACAGACAGACAGGAAGACAGAAAGAAAGGAAGAAGCTGCTGCTACCAACAGAGAAAAAGGGCTGAGCTATGCCACGTTGTCCGGAGACCAGCAAGCAGAACAGCAAGGTTCTAGCTGAAGGTTTCATGCCTTTTTATAGGCTTGCTGGTGTCTGGCGGCACATGTGCCGGATTGGAGAACCAGTTTTACTACCCTCTGCCCGCTGTGGTCTGAGTGCCTATGAAGGCGCTGGGAGAGGGTCCAGAGGCATGACCCGCTTCCTGCTCCCTTTCCCACGATGCACCACGGCTCCCTACGCGAGCTCTGCCATGACCCAACCCGGCTTATAAGGTCAGGCCGTGTTCACGTGCCAACGATCCCCAGCCCCAAGCCCTGCCGGCTCCTTGCGTGCCCCAGCAGCCAGAACCATCACACGGTGAGGCTAATCTGGTCCAGCCCCGCCGCTCAAAGCAGGCTCCGAGTTGAGAGTGTCCACGCAAAGGAAAGCGGTCAGGATGTGCAACTCTTGCCGGACTGTCAGAGAGCTGCACGGGAGCCCAGAGTGCCAGCTGCTGCCCCAGACTCCCTCCATGGGTGCCCTTTAGCGGGCTTGGTCCAGAGTGAAGAGCCCCCGGCCAGCCAAGTGACCAGCCCATCGCCAGAGGCCAGAGTGAAGCTCAGCAACGGGGACACAGTGACCCGGCAAGCGCGGCCTCAGAACAAAGGAGCTGTGTTAAGAGCTGGCAGTGCAATTTTACTACAAATTTACTTTACTCATGGACCCTCATGGACCCTCCCGTCTCAAAAGATATAAAATCTGGAGTGCCGGAAGAGATCAGAGTTACTTGAAAAAATGGCTCGAGAGGTTTCTCTTGAAGGAGCACTTCCAATATTTTTAGGATCAGGAGATGGAGAACACCAAAGAACAGGGAACATGCCCCCAGCAAAGCCCGTAACTGAGTTGTGAGACCCATCCGGCCTAGCCTAGCACGGCTCAGAATGAATGCAGCTCGCCGCCCCCCGGCCACGCTCACGGCAGAAACACACAGGCACATGGCCGTGTACCTCCTCATTATATCCGTCAGCATCCGATCTAACTAGGATCTTCCCCACACTGGGGATCTCCACCTCCGAAATCTGCGAGCTGGGCAGGGCGGAGGGCGCCCCGCCCGTCCCATCCTGCCGCTCTTCCGCCTGAGCTGGAGGGCCGCCTCCTTCGGGAAGGACATTCACTGGGTCTGCCTCCTCTGACTGCGGCAGCACAGAGAAAGGGAAGCAAGGGAGAGGAGAGATGAGCTCGCGACGAACGGCAGGCGGCCGAAGAACGCGAAGAGCAAGGGCCTGTCGCCGCGAGACCGCAAAGGAAGGCGCCCGGCTGCCCAACCGCCGCGGCTCTCACCTTGTCCAGGGCTACCTGCCCACCATCCTTTTCATACGCGTCAACGGTCTTGGCGATGGCTTCAGCTGTCTGGTCCTTGCTGATCCTGGCGTGCTCCGAGGAGAGGGAGCTCATCCCAAACTCACAGGGGCTAGACTGTCCTGAGGAGGGAAACGAGTGGCTTAGAGTTTGCTCTCCGGTCCTCATGGTCTCTGAAGCAGCATCAAGGCACGTGGCTTCCGTGACGAGGCACCACAGAAGCATCAACACTGCACACTGTTGGCTCCTCCATAACTCTGCTGGAGGCTTTTCCCGCTTTCACCCGTTCTTGCAAAAGGCAACAGAGAAGGGCCTTCATGATAAGCTGGCTCCAGCTCTGGAAACAAGGCCGCACTTCCAGGAGGAAACGATTTCGCTCCTGAGCAAAGGAGTGGCTTTTTAAAGACACTACAGCTTTGGAGAGCCTAGCAAGAAAGTCACCTTCCACTGACTATTCCCCTCCTAACTACCGCGCAGCGTGTTGAAAACCAAGAGAACTGGTGTCTGAAAGATGCTCACATGAAACCTTGTGTCTCACAATGCTTCCCTTGAGTGGTGGCCTGAGAAATCTGCAAAGAGCACGATTCAGACCGCAGGTGCATCCAATTCACTCTGATGATGCCCATCTTCCAGGGGCTCAGACCGGGAAGGGTCTATTTTGAGGTGCTGGGAACTGAACCCAGGACAGCTGCAGGCAGAACCTGTGCTCTGCCACACAGTTATGGGCCTACCCCGAGCATGGGGTGGGGGCCAGAACTTGTTTAGCTATTTGCCCCCCCCCCCCGCCCCCCACCAGCCTGTGCCATCACTCCCAACAACTTTGTGGACCGATGCTGAAAATGGCTTGCGAAGGAACTGGCAGCATCTCTCACCTTGTCCCGAGTCAGAAGACAGATACAGAGTGTCCACAGAGGGGGCCATCTGATCCACCTGGGCCATCTTGCAGGACTGCTCCTCCCACTCCGCCACCTCCTGTTCCAGCTTCAAATTGTTGTGCCTTATGTAACGCTGGAGCTCCACAGGCAGAGCTCGGACTTCCCTCTGGGTCTGACCCTCACAGTCTACCGAGAAGAAATAGGTAAGGCTGCGCTGGCTCCACTTGGCCTTTGCATCACCCCTCCAAGTACTTCCTGAGCAAGCCGGTTTTGAGGACCTTGGCCAGAATGTGTGGTTAAAATGGCCTGAAGGTACAGTTGGCCCTGCTTCTGACAGAAGAGCAAGTTAACCCACTGCTACCTCCTCTACTCCCTCACTTATGAAGAGCCACCAAGACGGGAGGTCCCAGGAAGAGCCGCTTTGCTCCAGCTCCCCACCAGCGGAGGGAGAAGTGGCTCACGTCCTCACCAGCCACCCCACGTGCCGGCGCAGCAGCAGCAGCCTGACAAGCAGTTCAGCGGGGACACCAGCTACCCATGGGGACGCGCGACAGGGCTGTGGGTGGCTGTTATGGGTAAGGCGGCCGACTGCAGCCGGAGGTGCTCCATCGGCTTTGATACACCATCCGTTCTGGTCAGTTGCTATCAAGCCCCGTGTCCGTCCTTTCCAGAAGCCCGAGAACTGACCGCATGGGTATGATAGCGCTGCCTAACCCAGGACCAGCCGCGCGCCACAAGCAGAGCCCTGTGCGAGGCAGAGCACGGCCTGGAGAGCCAACCGGCCGAGGCGACACACACACACCTGCAGTGAAGCATGGCAGCTTTTTGTCTATGTACATCAGGCAGTAGGCGCTGACATTCTTCATGCCCCCAAAAGAGACCTTTTCCACTTCTTCCCAGGATGACTCCGTCACCGAGATGTCGTTATACCTGAGCCAGCACTGTCGGGACTGGTTGTAGATGTAGGCCAAGTAATGGCCAGCGTTTGCCTGGCCTTCGTGGACCAGGACGGCGTGCAAGTGGTAAGGGACCTGTAAACACACATGTGCATGCAAGTGAGCAACAGGCCTGTTCGTACGCAGGGGAAGCAAGGCGACTCAGGGCAGACTCAGCCACGCGTTCCCAGCTGCCGTGGCTGCGAGGACCTGTCCGTGCACACAGTGGCGCCGAGATGCTGGCAAGGCGTGGCCCGGAGTTAATGCTGTGGTAACGCTGACTGCAGATGCAAAGCCCTGAGCATGTTTAACTGATCAGCACCAAGTAGGGGCCAGTTGCCGGAAAAGCAAAAGCATTAAAAACTTCATAAATGTACTACATCCCGAACAGACACGGCATCCATTCAAAGGCGATGGGAGCTCCTTTGAGCAAGAGTTCTAGCTCTTTCAGTAAAATAGCTGAATTGCCTCAGCCTTTATTTGGAGGGAGAAAACTCCCCAACATCCACAGCTCATTGCAAGTAGCACAGGAGTTGGCAGAAGGCAGAAAAAGAGACACAAAGCCAGACCCTGTGTTGGAGGAAGCATTTTCTTAGGCATAATTGATCCCATTCTAGCCCAAAGAAATTCCACGACATGCAGGATAGTATACAGAATTTGAAAATGTGTCCATCGCTCAGATTTCCTGCTTAACTAGATATTTCACTTGAACTCTGCAGTCTATTTTGACATGGCATACAAGATATGGGTAACCCAAGCACAAAACAAGGAAGGTCTCTGGGTCACCTGCAATCATTACTCACCTGCTCCAGAGCAGCAGGGCTGTGCTTTCCAGCAGCTCCTCCAGGAATCCAGCAAACAGCCCTCATTGCCAGCACAAGGAAAGAAGAAAGGGGGGGGGGCATGCTGGGGCTCTTACCTGACAGAGCTCAGGGTCCGAGTACACCTGGTCAATAGCCTGGGAAAGCAGCGCGATGGAGGTCTTCAAATCTGTAAATCAAAACAGTTCTGTCCGCCATGTTGGCAGCTGCCCTCTGATGTGTAAAGGTGGGGAAGCAAGTTCCACAATCAACAATAGCCTTGAAGGCGCAGGGGTCCGTGGGCCATGCAAGTGTGGCTGTGCCCCCCCTTCTGCCACCCACTTTTCTCCTAGTTTTCACACAGGGAGCCAAGGAAGGAGCGGACCACCACTGCCAGAGGGTGCTCTCGGGGGCCGCATGCACGTGCGGGTCAGGGGTGCGGCTTGCCCGCCCTTGCCTCAAGGAATTGGGAAAATGCCAAGGCTGCCGAACGCGCCATTCCATCAGGTTCCCGTGTTGTGGCAAAATGGCCGACAGACAGCGGGGGAGGCAGCACACAGCACATTCCTAGAAGCCTCGCGTGAGGCAACCCTCCTGCAGGCGTGCTCAAGCCCACGAAACGTGCCGTGCTTCTCCGACTCCGACTAACACGGGTGTCTCAGCGAGCAAGAGAAGGGAACGACCCAGGCACTTTCTTCACGCTTTGTGCCTGCTCTGAGGAGACCCTGAGTGAAATGGGCTTCAGTGCAGGCCACGTGACTGGCCCGAGGATGCTACGAGGTGGAGGCCCCAAACTAAAATCCAAACCATGCGCGCCCATTTGAGCCTGGGATTGTGGATCACGGTTTAAGGAGCCTGCAGAGGCCACTGCTCTCTTCACACGGCAGCCCCCACTGCAGCAAGGGCCACCTGCTGCCATTCCTCGGCAGCCCTGCGAGCCAGCGTGGGGCCTAGTCCCTGCTCGGTCGCAGAGCCAACTGGGAGACTTTGGCCCAGCCACGGACTCTCAGCCCATCACAGGCAAGACTGAGAGCGGGGCGGGGGGGCGAATGACATAAGCCGCCTGAGTTTTTTAAAAGAAAAAGGCAGAATTTAAACCCCGTAAGTAGGTATGTGCCGGCCACTGCAGGATAATCAAGGCCTGGGGCACCAAGCACCATGACCCAGCTTGCAAAGAAGTCGCACACTGCACCGGATTCAGAACGAGCAGCTGAATGCAACTGCTGCCAGCGGTCGTTCGGTGTTCTCTTTCGGACAAGGGCCGGTCCGGCACGTCCCCAAGAAAAGCTGTGGCCGCCACTTCCTCCGTTCTCACGTAATGACTCACTGGGCCCTGACCTCTTATGTCTTGCTCCACCTCTTCTCTCCATCGCTGCAGGCAGGTTCTGACAAGATTCATCTCATCCTCCGTGATCACTCGAGGAGCTGGGTAGTCTGGTATTTCCATGGGCGATCGGGATGGCCGAAGACACTCCTCTCCTCGTTCCTGCTGAGGCGGATCTCCTGCTGTGGCTGCATCTTCGGTGCTCTCCGTCTGCGCTGCTGTTATGCTATGGGAGAGAGAGGTGGAGGTGGGCAGCCGATGCCAGCGCCCCCAGCCAATGCGACCGCAAAGCTACTTCGAAGGGACTAAGCTCAAGCATGTAATTCTGGCCCTTTCGGAGCACAGGCCTCCAAAGCAGAATTACTTCAATCTTGCTTGCTTGGAGTTGTATTGTTTCGTTACCCCAGAAAGGTGTGTCTGGTGCTGATGCTTTTTTCATTTTGGCGCCAGAGCAAATCCTTTTTATTTTCCCATTATTTTAAATGCTAGCAGTGTTTTAAGATTGAGTTTATATATTATCTCTGGATGCTGTATTGCATTTTGTATAAACAAACAAACAAAGTTTCGGTTTAGATGCAGGGAGTCGCTTTGGGGAAGTGAGTTCACCTTGATTGTCTGCTGGGAGCCCCCCTCCATGAACGCCCGCTTTACCTGCTCTGCGCTGGGGGCATCTCTGAAGGCTGATGCTTGGCCTGGGGTTCTGCCAGCACGTTCGCCTGGGCAACGGATGAAGGCCCCGTGCTTGCAAATTCCAGCACGGACTGAAGCATGTCCAGCAAGGGGAAGCGGCCTGCCTCAGACCCATACTTCATATACCTGCAAGAGGCCCAGAGAGAACGAGACACCTTCAGAGGCATGTCCCTTCTGCCTTCCCCAGGCCTGTCCCCTCGTAGGCCCACGGCAAAGCCCATCTTGCCCAACTGAGGAGGATGCCTGCTATTCTGCATCTGTGCCCTGCTTGTTCTCCTGTGAGGGGTGCTGGGCAGCCCCCGTTTATCCTAACCACCACCCTGTAAGGTAGGTTAGGCTGGCAGTCCGGGAGAGGGATGCTAGCGTGCTACATGATGCGGTCTGCAGATGAGAGTATGACATCCGAGAGAAAAAGGTAACTTACCTTTCCAGTTTTTGCTGTAGAACAGTTATCTGGTCTTTCAGTTTCTTCTTCTCCTGTCTCTTCATTTGAATAACCTCTTTATTACTGTACATGAACCTAAAGAAGAAATACCTTAACTGCCCCATTCACAAGTACAAGCCCAGCCTGGCTTATAAAGCTCTCAGAGAGGACTAGACAATTAGGCGGTGCCGCTAAATGCCTCCTTGGAAGAAGGCCCCACTCCAGCTTCTTTGAGGCTGCCAGAGGTCAGACCTTGACTGCGCCTTCACCAGCTCCTGCCCGCCTTGATACTTATCAGTCAGTATCCCTCTTCTAAGGAAGGTTTTGGAGTGGATGGTGGCATCACTACTCCAGATTTTCTAGGATGAAAACTATCTGAATTCTTCTCAGTGTGGCTTCAGGCCCAGTCTTGGGACAGAAAAAGCACCGGCGGATAAACCACACTGGGTACTAGGTATTAGGTAAAGGAGCATGTCTTTGTAGGTTCTTACAGACTTCTCAGTGTCTATCACAGTATCTTTCTAACTTTCTAAATGAATGCATAAGGTCAGGGCCTGGTGTATGGCCTCCATCAAGGTCCCCGACTCCATCAACTGATGTCAAGGGGGCCATGGAAGTCCTGAACCACTGCATGGGAGTAGAGACGGACTGGTATGGATGGGTGAGCGGAAGCTCAGTCCAGGTAAGGGAGGTCCTTCCTGCTGGGAAGAGAAAGGGCAGCTTGGCAGTGGCAGTACAACCTCTTCTGGTTAGTCCAGGATGAAAATGTTTTTCATTCAACCTCATGGACAGATGAGGTTCTGGGGCAGGAAGATCGGGCCTTTATTGTAGTGGTATCCAAATTTATGGAAGCCCCTTCCTCAAGGAGGTCAGATTGGCTCCCTTGTTATTGGCCTTTAAACATTTATTTGGAGTTTTATATGCCGTCCCATCTCTTAACGCCTCGGAATGGCTTACATAAACATAAATAGACAACATAGTGCCCAATACAAATACAAAAAATATAAATTACACAAATTAAAAACCCCGGACATCAAGGAAAAACTATATTGCTCCGTTAAGGTTTTAAAAATAAGGCTGCTCTTTGATTTTCAATGGTTCCTGTTGCGTTCCATATGCCATCAGTTCATGAGCTTACCCCAGATCGCCTCAAGCTCTCACTCGAGCAGAGAAGGCGATCTGGAAATATGTTACAAAAGAGAGCTGTGTGCCACTATTTCTCTAGCAGGCCTTCAAGTCTGGAGCTTTTGTATACAACACAACTCGGTATCTTACCTGTCCATATAAATGATCTGTGGGAATTCTAGCTTGTTGTGGATCTTCTCTGGCTGTTTGAGTGACTGATTGAACTCAAACCGGGAAAGTTCAAAGGTCAGCACCGGAGGAAGCTTTGTGAACCAGCGCTGGAAGACAAACATGTACCGTTTCCAAGACTGTGGGGCACTAGATTACAAACAGTTCTCTTGATTCAGTGATGCAGTGCACACATAAGCAGCGTCAAATTATAGGAAACATTTAGCACGTCGGACCCAGAATAGACACAAAACAAAAGTGACCTTTCTAGAGAACATCGCACTGGGAGAGAGAATGCTGCCAACTGCCAATTTCAGAGTAAGCTGGATGTACTGTGGATCTCGTGGGATATTCAGGACTGAGAGAATTCCTGCACAACCCACACCTCAGCCATGGTTATTGATGGTTCTAGCTATTCAGGGGCTGTTTCAACTAGATTTCGGTCCAAGCAGTTTTTCTTCCGCTGCTCTCAAAGGAAAGTGGAAAAATGCTGCCAACATTTCCAGCTTAAAACAGATTTCTGTAATCTACGGCCAGAAAGGTAGGGCATACCCTCCCCGCTGAAGCTATTTGTAGCTAGCTCTGCTGTGGTTCTTGAATTCTTCAGATGCTGCCAAAAGCTTTACCTCACCATCAAGATGTGCCCTATCTGTTAAGGACCACAGGTTGCTTGAACACACTGACAACAATCGTAGTCACACTGAATTCAAGCACTTATACAAAGAAGTCTTTAAGGGGTCTAATGAGAGACTTGCTCCCTGTTATTTTGCAATATAATGTTTTAAGTATGCGTGCCATCCAGGAACAGTTTCCTCTTCCAAGTTCTCTACCAGATGCTACATTTTCCTTCTGTAATTTGAAAGCCCTTTGCCACATTCTTAAACTGCAACAGGCAGAGTGGCACGTGTACTTTTGTGTTTCCCACTACGCATTTATAAAAAGATGCCTCATATTGTTAAAATGGCAAAGCTAAGCAGCATGTGATCCGTTTATGGTTTAAATTAAGAGCCAAAATCAACAGAATCACGGGAAGCAGAATTGTGTTTAGAAACGTAAAAAGAAAGTGCAATATATACCAACAGGGAAAAGACATCACAAAAGAGCATACCATAATGTTAAGAACTGTACTTTTGCCCTTCAAAAATATGGAGGCAGAGGTTCTTCCCTACTCAGGTACGGGTAGGCTTCAACAGAAAGAGACACACTTTTATCACACTTACGCATCATAGGACGACCTTTACAAGGTAAATGTCTGACACGGATTACACGGGACAACAGGCATTGGTGATTCTACAGTGCAGGCATGCTTGCTTTGCGTATCACGGCAGCCACGAAATACGGCACATGCCATTAACGTCATCACATCCAAAACTTGCACTTAAATTGCATTTTACAGTTTTTGCATCTTCAATAGCCAAGATGGTCTTTGCTCTGTATTGCCTATGAATTAGCAAAGTGTGTATGACTAACCTCTTGTCTGTACTTCACTGACTGACCGGAAGGCGATGATTCAGTTTCCTTTTCTACCATAGCTCCTTCCAAGCACTCGTACAAGTTCTTATAACCATTTACCTGCAGGGGATACTGGCCAAAGGTCTCAGTTTTGGAAAAGGGCTCGCCTGAACATGGAGGGAGAAAATCAAAAACATGAACAGAAAATCTTTCCACAGATATTTAACAGCTACTGGAGCCAATGCAAGCAAGACTTCCTAATTTCTCATCAATGCTTTAGACTTCTTGATGACTGCTCTAGGGTTTTCTCTCGCTCGTTGGCCTTGGAGGACATGGTTAGAATGATACCACACGATGTGATGTTACTCCTAGGCGAGGGAAGCTGCTCCCCAAGGACGCCTGGGCCCCTTTCAACCTGTGCTGCCTGGGCCAATTGGCAGCAGCTCCACAAGGCATTTCCCAGCCCCTGGTTCCCCCAAGATGCTCGGTCTGAACAAAGCTGCTCTGGCCTCAAATCAGAGCCTTCTTTATGCAACGAATAAGCTGTACTGTCGCGCTTCTCCTCCTCAGTTCCCAGTGTCAACCATCCACCTAGGCAAGAAATGGCATTTTAAATTTTTAGCTGACTGTAATCCATCCAGAAAACATGACTTGCCTGGTAATGGAGACATGCACTGTCCCAGAAGCAGGACTGAAGCGGGTCTAGATAACACACCTCATCCATAAATTCCTGGAGCTGGGAAGCCACCTCACGGTTGGGCACCCGACCCAGGAAGAGACTTTTCTTCTGACCAGGAATGATCCGAGGGTTCGGGGAGGGAGCTCTGAAGTCAAAGAGCTCACCACTTGGGCATGAACACCCTGCTCTGCTCCCACAGCACCGCTGCATCCGGCCCCCAAACCCTCCCCAGACCTCTGCCTCTGAGCATCTGACCCCTGGAGACATCAGTCCGCAGAGGCAGCAAGGTGAAACCAACTTGCCTCGAGGAGACCAAGCCCACCCCAAGGAACACCCATGAGCTGTTTTGAGGCTCACCACGATCCCTCACACAGAACACATGTGGGGAAGCTTGGATTTATAGTTGGAAACCAAGCACTTTTGGGCTCTGTGGAGTTCAGCGAGAAAGCCCGTGTTCCTCTTCGGTTAAATCAGCCCACAGGGATTTCTCCCCCTATTACAATAAAAATCAGACAAAAGTTTCATTGACAAGTTCTTCCGGCTTACCTTCATGAATCCCTTCCATTTGAAAAGTTCCATAAAAAAGTTGGATCATTGGGTTCTCAGATCTATTCTGGCAACTACTGCTTCAGAAAAGGGAAATGACAGCAAGCTTAGCTCACCGGATGCAGGCGCACGGATCGTATCACAAGCGTTGTCTTATCAACAATATTCAGACGCTTTAAACGACAAGTGACAGTGGCCCATAGCAGGGGCAGGAGACGCATTCTTAAAGCCTTCTATTCATTTTAAGGGTTCAATTTGGGTCTAGTTTTCACTCAAGAAGCAAAACTATGCCCACTACCTAAAAATGCCATACCCCCCCCCCCCCCGCCACTATTCCGGGTTCCTACAGCTGGAGTGAGCAAATTCAGGCTTACTGCATTCGACTAGCTTTCCCCCTCGAATCCTAAGTTCACTGGGGGCAAAATAACGCCTGCAAGGGTGAGGAGCACAGAGCAGGAGTGAAGGGAAATGCTGCCTCGGAGTGCATGCTTTTCTCTGGGAAATGGTTTTCGTGCCGGGACTGAGTCTGTGGTCCTTCCACACACATCTGTTTCTAGTTTTCCCTTCCCCTTTCTCCACTTCACACAGCCAACGGTGAGGGATGATAGGCATTGCAGTCCAAGATCTGGAAGATCATGTGTTCCCCATCCCTAGAGCTTTTTATGTCGCTCAAGATCTCACACTTACCTCCGATCATGCTGCAGCACATGGTGAGAAATACCATGATTATCTCACAGTGCTAAATGAAGGGGTAGGTGCTCGAATTTCTGGTTATCTCACAAACAAATAGGGAAAACAAGTTTCTCTAGACTCACTTAACATTCATCGCCAGTTTGAATGCATCCTCCAGCCAGTCCAGAAATTTGTGGGTAAACTCGCTCACATCTTGCTAGAAGAAATCCAGAGATTAGAGAAACAAAGATGACAGCTGGTGGGAGATGTTAATGCCGCCAGTTTGCAGTTAAATCATTATGCTTTGATTTGTCATGCTTTATCACCAAGAGCAGCTGATAATATTTATGTTAAAGGGCCCTACAGAAACTGAATACATAAAGCAAGGGAAGAGTTAATGGTTATGTGCATACAGAGCTTTGCGGAAGCGACTCTGTTCTTATGGCGGCAGAGGCCAACCAAATGTACGTATGGCTTTTTTCACGCACAGGCAGAGATGCCCGAGAGTTCTCAGCATCGCACAGGAGTCTGGGTCTATTCAGATGAGCTGCTCTTTCTAAAAAAAAAAGGCACTGATGTCCAAAGCACAGGACGCAAGGGGCCACATAAGCCGCAATGGCAGGCCAAACAGTTCTGGGGAAAGATGCAGATGAAAGGCCCTGCCCCAAACTATCTGACACCCCCGTGAGCATCCAAAATGGAAGCCACCCCTGCCGGGAAAAAATGGTGGGGGTGGTTCGGGTGGAATGGCGCAGGCAGGACACAGAGCTGGTTACCCTGGCTGTGCTTTTAATTCCTCCCCACCCTGCTTCACGTCAAAGTGCCACCGTGTGTTGGGTCCAGCTGCCCTCACATCTGAAGCAGCAAAGACCTACGAAGCGTGGCGCAAGCAGAGGGCACAGTGTGGATAAGCCCCACGCGTCACGTTACCTGCTGCTCCTCGGGAGATCTGAATGCGTCTCGGATGAGTTCCAGCGCTGCAGAAGGGTCAACAAATTTGTGGACTGTCCCCAGCATCAGAGCAAAGAGATTCCGGAGCTCCTGCATGAATGCGACGTTCCGCTTTTCCTGCACGAAGACGAGCACAACGAAATGCAGAGAAATGACGACCTGAGTGGCTTCGCTGTGACACACGCCGGCCAACCACGTAACACGGCCAGGCAGGCGACCACAGCCAGGTGCAGAACGTGCCGGAGTCGCCTTTGCAGCAGGAGCTGTCCGATGTTTACTCAGAGGATCCGATTCGTGCAGCAAGTTCAGCTGTTCCCCAGGACTCAAAGCCTCCAGGATGCATCTGCAAACGGCGTGCCTTCCTGCAGGCCGCAGCCGTGCAGCCAATCGCGGGCTTCACGGCCAAGGGGGGGAAAAGGGGCATGTGCTTTTACCCGGGACTTTCCCGTGCAGGCAGCAACAGGAAAAACACAGGAAGGTCTTAACATCCCCCCTGCCCCCAATCTCATGACCATCTTGTCACCAGGAGACGAGCCAATCACCTCTTATTAATTCTGCTTTCTTGTAAGCTATCTGAAAGATCATGTGACCAGAGGACAAGGTCTCCTAAGTCCTTAACAGAAATACAAGGCCAAATCCATAGGCAACGTGAAGTCCATACATGGGGACACTGAAGTACTCGCTTGGCAGTCACAGCAACACTCAAGGAGACTTGGTACTTTCAATCCTTGTCAAAGCCACAGCTCAAAGTTGGAGAGCAGCGTAATGTAGCACATTGTTTAATGGCCATTAAAACACAGCCTTTTAGATTAGATTAGAATTACGATCTCGTTACTGCAGACAAGAAGAGGCCAGAGACACTGGTCCTCCCAAAATCCTTTTCGACTAAGGTCTGTAAATAGAAGCCACCTTCAAGTTTGTGCTGGTGACCAACTCAAAAAACGTGTCACTGAAATCCAGCTAGGCATTTTCTGTTTTAGAAGAGAATGACAGAGCAGCAAGACATGGAAAGGCAAGTAAGTGCCTGGCTTTTGTTCAATTTGTACTCACACTTTGGCTGCAGCAGCCTTCAAGCACCCTGACTGGAAGGGAGTAGCTGAAAACTAAACGTCGGAATTCTGGAAGCTGGAAGAAAGACTGACAAAAGCCCTTGAATTAAATCCCAGTTTCATCCAGTCCAAGCAAACCTGCACTCTGGTCTCAACCTAGTACACCCCCTTTCTGGGTCACGGGACTTTCAAAAGTTATTTCCAACAGAGAAGCATTTTCTGCCCGGAAAATAAGTGAAAACTGCTGTCTTGCAGTGAACTGCAATCGTATCGGAGGAAACCGCTGCCCCAGCCAGACTTCAAAGCACCCCCACCAAGTTAGATCGGCATAACCACATGCCAAAACCCTCCCAAATGCTTATATTCTTCTATGAGAGGAGTTGATCCTGCCCACCAGCAGCTATTAAAGAAGATGGAACCCAAACAGGGAGGGGGGCCTCAGAAGGAGCCAGGACGAGGTCCCCCTGCGCACACGTGTGGTGCCTGCATCGAAGCAGCCGTGCCATCAGCAGGCGACACTGAGGGAGGCGAGAGGGCGGAAGGGCTGTTCTCTCAGCCCTGCTAATAGAACCCAGTCAGTCTGTCTGAAGCACAGTTTTATCCCACCCAAGAGCCCCAAGGCTCTTGTTTACCTCCTCCTCTTCCCTCCCCACGCCTCTTTCCTTAGGTACGGCATCTCTTTAGATCTCAGGCCTGCGGCCTCTCCTGTCTAACTGACGTGAAAGCCACTCTGGGAGCCTTTTTGGCTGAGCAGCAGCACAAAAGCACTTCAGATAAATAATGGAGCAATTATAAGTGGAAGCAACTGAGCAGCTCCCACTTCAGAGACATCAGGGAGAAAGCAAAGGCGACACGAGGACCCTGCTGCCCAGCTGCAGCCGCCCCCAGGCGTGCTGGACACCCACCACTGCACCACTGCAGCTCCGGGCAGGCAGCCCCCAAGAGCAGCAGCCCCCTACCTGTATCACGGCACTGAACCAGCAGGTGTTGCCAATGTTCTTCAGCCCCACTGGCCAGTCGCCGACCCTCCTCCAGTCGTTCTGAGCAGTGGGGTCTCCCAGGGCTTCGTACCGTTTCCGCTTGGAGCAGGTCTTGCCTTCGGCCATGCTGGGCTCGTGGCCTCTGGCAGGGAGCAAAACACAATCGGTGACCGCCAGGAGCCGTGCCGGGCCGCAAGGAGGGACCAGGCTTTAGCGGCATCGCACGGCGTGGGTGGCTGGTTCAGTCTACAGACCGCGAGTGCCCTGGGAGCAGCAGGGACCCCACCTCTCCCCACCAAACCTCCCCGGACTCAAAGGCAGCCCATCTCGCCAGCGGCACCGACTGCCCCGGACAGAACCGCGCACCTTCCGGAGGCAGCAGGCTCATGGGGGGGCTTAACCCTTGCCAACCCGCGTGTCCCACAGGGGTCGGAGGTGCTAACTGGGCTCTTCTCCACAGACTGCGGCAGAGGGAGCGGGCTGATCTTGCCAGGGATCACTTGGCTGAGGGCACGGCAGGGACGCAGAGAATTGTGCCAGGGCACGAAACAAGCTGCTTTAAAAATGAGGTTTCAGAGGCCACCAGGGAGTCTACACATACGCTGCTGCACTCGGATCCTTCTCCACGATCTGGCTTCCAAAATCCTGGAGTCCGGGAGGACTGATTCCGTGCATATCTGCACTGCCATTTTGCGGCGAGTCAGCTCGGCCTGGAGAATGAGGGGACCATCAATTTCCGGGTGGAGGAGAGCATTCCTTGCGACGCCACCCCTCTCCCTGGCCTCGGCACCTGCCGGCTCGCAAGGGGATGCTCAGCGTTCTCTGTAGGAACTTCTAAGTGGCCTTCCGTTCCAGGCACACTGGCAAAGGCACCTGCTGCGAGCGTGTGATGAGGAGGCGAATGACGACGAGGGGCTGCGCTTGCGCTCACGCAGACGCTGCAGCCGGTGCCCAGTGAGGCACCCAATGAACGTGCCGCACCGCCCGACCGTTCCTCGTCCTGCATTCATTCTTTCTTGCAATTGGAATTGTCTATAATAATGTACTTATATGGCATTTGTAATATTTAAATATGAACTGCTTGGAATTTTGTTTTTTTTTTTTTTTACATAAAGCAATCTAAATAACGAAGAAGCAAACAGTGCCCTGACGCAGAGCCTTTAACATACAATGAACTATAAAAGTCCTTCCAGGAAAAGGTTTTGAGTTCACGCGGATGCTGAGGACCCACTGTAACACTCTGGAAGCCAGCGTGCGGCTGGAGGTCTGCATGTGCTTCTGATCTGGGTAGAGTCAGTGAAATAAATGGAAACTGCTAGCCAGCCAGTTAACAGAACTGCCTTCTTGTGAACGGATGAACACGCCGTTCTAAATCATCTGTCCTTTGCTTCACTGCTCTCAGCGCCACGGCGTGCCCTTTCTCTCATCATCATAAAAATGAGATGGAGTGATCCATACTGCTCATCTTACTCAGCTATTAATGGGCCCCTACCTGTCTCTGATTATCCCCAGCTGAATGTTCAAGCGACGCTCTCACAGCCTGCATCCAAACCTTCCATCAGAAATGCAACCAGCAGTGACAAGCCCACTCCAGGGGGAGGCGGGAAGCACTTACTGATCGCCTGCTCTTTGCCAAGCACACTTCCTTCACAGTCGGAGGGTTCCGCGGCAGCGACTTCTTGGCCTAGCCCTTTTGCATAGCCCTCAGTGAGGAAGCCAACAGCCTGAAACAGGTTCCCATCAGCAGCCTAATGACAAAGGGCAAAACAGTATTAGCAACAGAGAAACATAGCCTGTTGCATGGGATTAGGTATTTCAAGCAACCGTGCATCAGCCGCTTATGCGGGGCAGAAGTTAGAAGAATCAGGGCTTAATTGCATTTTACACTTGTCTTTCTTAAGTATAAAGATGGGGGAAGTGTTAGAAAAGTACAAAAAGGAAATTAATTAGAATAGGAATGACATTCTCATGAATGCTACTGAAATAGTCCAAATTTTAGCAGAAGCTGAGACATAAAAGTGAGAGAAGTTTCCAAAGGAAAAACAAACTCTTCTTGACATGTTTATCATGTTCTAACTGGTGGCAAATGGCCGGGGGGGCAGGGGGAGAACCGCTTTAGAAGGTGCTGCCTAAGGACGAGAGAGCGCGCA